GTGGTTTCATGGCTCTTTGACGTCATCGCCTTCACTCGTGTCTTTGTTTTGCCCATTGTTTTGTCTGAATGTTGCCATTTGCCCTAATGTGTCCTTTCCTCTTTTTTGTTTTAGGTGAAATACCCCCTATTTAACCCAGAAAAGGATTATTTTAGTTTATTAGTAATATCAGAAATTGTGGAGTACGCACTACTTAGATCAATAATATACAGCCCAGAAATGGAATCAGAATTAGAATTAGAATAACTACAAACTTGGAATCCAGAAATACTTAACAGGAACAGTCACTGCTTAGTTTATATGACTTTTAACCCAGAAAAGGATTTAGATCAGTCATTCTTTAGCTTATTTTACCAGAAACTGTAGAGTACTCACTGTTTAGAAATGGAATTAGATACTTAGCAACCCTGAACAGGAGCACTTAGTTTACATACTTTAGAACAATGTTAGATTAGTTTTCTTTCCTCTTTTTTCTTTCCTTTGGTTTGTTATTTTGTTTGTATTTCCCTTTAATTCATGTAAACCACTTTGAATTACCGTGTTGCTGAAAATGTGCTATATAAATAAAATTACCTTACCTTACTGGAACAACACATAATTAAGATTAAGTTTCCAATATACTTTCTTGGAATCACATGATATCAATGAGTTGACATGACACATTGGTAAACGATCAGCAAGACGATAATAATGTCAAATGTTTACTTTTTAACAATGGATCAGAAAAAAAATTGTTTAGAAATTCTGTTTAGATTTTTGAATTTGGTAAATTTTCTGTGGATAATTTTTGAGTGCTGTGTGGGTAAGAATGCTAACCTAATTTCAAACAACATATTTTTAGTAATTTGGTCCAGGGTGTAATTTGGTCAGGTAACTTTATACAGCTTCTTTTTGACTATTTGGGACAGAATATTTAAGGTGTTTTAAACGCTGTACTTTAAATAACATGGAACTGAATATTTAAGGTAAAATGGGGCAGAGTTTTTATGGTTATTAATGACAGTGTATTCTAGGCTTTAAGGAATGGTCTAGTTTAAGTAAAGTGGGACTAAATTTTAAGGTAAGTTAGCATAGCATGTTTCAGATCATCTGAACATCTCACTTAAGGTAATTTGGGACAGAATATTTATGATAATTCAGCATATTTTAGTTTTTTGGGAACAGGGTGTTTCTATTAAAGTGAGGCTGAGTATGTGAAGTAATTCAGGAGTATTTATGGTAATTCTTGACAGTATATTTTAGTTTTTTTAAAAACAAAATTAATGTAGGACTGAATATTTAACAGTGAAGAAAAATCATCCTCATTGTGATAATAACTACATCCGATCATGTTTATGCACATGACGTATGACAAACATGTAGAGAGAAATGTGTTGTTACTGGATTCTGTTGGTGATGGTATGTTAGCAGTTTGCTCAGTGAGAAGCAATAAACAAATCTCAATTGTTTTCTGACTTTTAGCTTCAGCATGGATAAGTCGGGTCTGAGCTCATTTATAGATCCAAACTCAGAACTGAGGACTTTTTTTGTTTGTTGTTTTTCTCCCATCAGGTCAGCGATTAAAGAGAGAGACTGGACTCGTCTGGCCCAACTGATGGACCAGAACTTTGAGCTGCGCAGGTAACCCCGGGTTCTCTGGCCTCCTATACAGTGTTTGTCGCATCTGCAGGAGACTCTTAGCATGCTGTTAGTATGCAAAGATGCAATAGGCAGCGTTCTTTATAAGAAACTGATTCTATTGGGATTTTATGTGCTTGACCAACATAAAGTAGCTCATATCTGTAAAATGGGAGAAAAACAATATTCACATTTTTGCTACAATAAACATATGAAAATGTGTGCTTTTGTATTCACCCAGTTTAATACTCCTAAATAAAATCAAATTCTACCATTTCTATTTGGAGCTAATGGGAAGAGTCCACCTGTGTGATGTAATGTGTGTGTAACTGCAGCTGGTGTGTGAGGACCTCAGAGGTTCACCAGAGAACAGAAGCAAACAGGATTATGAAGCAGCAAACTTTAAACGTAGCCATGGAGTTCAGTTTAATCCGTCTTCTGAAAACGGAAAGTGAAAATCAATATTTGTAAAACTGATATTGAAGTATAACTTCACAAGATGCTCAATATTCCTCATTTTTTAAAATTATTTTCATATAGGAATGATCATGAAATTGTTACTTCATTCTATTAGTATTAAAACTATCATGGTGTTACTACTTTTTTCTTGTATTATTACGACTTTATTCATGTAGTATGACATTATTCGCTTATTATTATGGCTTACTATCATATTACTTTTTTCTCTCAATATTATGACTATATCTTTGTAATTTAATTTCTTTTTTCTTAGAGTGGCCCTTGTACTAATCCATTGTAGTGTTATTTCATTATGATAGATGATCTTCTACATCATATCAAAGTGAATATTTGTTACCTTTTCTAAATAAATGCTTAGATTCTACAGCTGCCTGATCTGATAGTAATGTGGTTTCCAGGTCTATCTACACTGATGACTGTCTGGGTCCTGGGAACCTCAGGATGGTTCAGCTGGCGAGGCAGGTGGGTGTTAGGAGGTGAAAACTGAACTCCCTCAAGAGCACCCACCGTACATTTATTAATGAACACTTTGTCTGATCTGACAGTTTGGCTCAGCAGTGAAGCTCCCCGGCAGTGGGGGGGCCGTGGTGGGCCTGTGTCTGGACCAGGTCAGGCTGGTAAGGCTGTTCTCCTTTACTCTGAGGACTGAAGCTCATTTTTTAATCGTTGAACAGAAAATGGTTCAGGTTGACGAAGGCAAGAAATAATTCACACAAGGACCAAATCCTCCCATCCATTGTCTATACCCACTTATCCTACATGGAAAAAACCCTCAGCTAAAGGAGGGACGTCCATTTCTCCACAATTACAGCTGAGGATGATTGAACTGTTTGACTTTGTCACATTATAGCAATATTAAAAAGCTTTTAGATGTGCCTCAGCTGCACCACCTGAATAGATTAATTAGGTCATTAGCAGGCCTCTACACAAGAAGGAGGTAATTAACCATTTCATTCCAGTGTTTTGTACCTGTGGCACATCTAAAAACTGCAGGACTGGAGTTTGACACCCCTGCAATAGTGTTAGCTCTGTAGCCCAGCTAGCTGCTTACAGAAGCTAGAAAAGTAAAATTATGTTGTTTGCCATGAAGCTAATTATTGTTAAGTAATTTTAAAAGCCGTCTTCACTGTGGGTGCGACTTTTGTACTGCTAGTTAATAATCACCATTTTCGTCAATTTGGTAAAAACTCAGGTGATATGTCATGAAGGAAGGACGGGCGAGATATCAGTAAGAGACGTCTAGACGTCTGGTTCCTCCAGTTTCAAAATGCCTGAAGGTTCTGAGGTCATCTGGTCAAAGAATTATATTAGAAACATGAGAATGTCCAGCCGCCACGCTGTCCAGGAACTGGAGGGAGACGTGTCCCAGAGATGAGCGTGTTAAGAGTATGAAAAGAGCAGAACAAAAGCAAAAGATCTTGTGAAGATGCTGCTGATGCTGCTAACAGTCTGGTTATCCACAGTGAAGTGTCCTGCACAAACATGGGCTGAAGGGCCGCTCAGACAGGAAGAAGTCATTGCTCCTAAAGTGGCATAAAAAACACAGTTTGCACTTTGCAAAAGCACTCAGGGTCAGAAACCGTAACTTATGGAGACGTGCCAAATTGAAGTGGCCTTAATGGCCATCATCACATTTGGAGGAGAAATGGAGAAGCTTACAGCCTGAGGACGGGGCTGGCAGCGTCATTTTGTGCAAGTGTTTTATTGCAGGAGGAAGTCATAAAGAAAGAACATCTTGTGGTAACATGGAAGCAAAATCTCAATAAATTAAGAAGGAAGTTGAAATTTGGGCACAAATAAATTTTCCAAATGCACGATGACCCTGACATAGGAAGTCAACGGTTGAAAGCCATGTGCAAGCAATTCAGCATACAAACCTGACTCAGGTACAGCCGTTCTGTCAGGAGGAATGTGCTGAAATACCAGCTAACTATTATCTGAAGCTTCTAAAGGAAAAACAAACCAAAACATTTGACCCAATTCTTATAATTTATTAGTAAATTCTACCAAATACTTGGGAACGTATGAAAAGTTTTTATTAAATTCTCTTATTCTTCTGATTTATATGACCTAAAACAGGAACAGGTATAGTCTGATTTAATATCAGACAGAGAGAGAGGTTTAATGTCTGTGTCAACCTTGCATCCCATTGTGATATTCAAATGTGATTCATCAAACCCAACAATGAATGCAACGTTTAAAGACCCTCTGGAAGAGAGACACCAATAATTATGACTCTTGATAAAACAACAACACAGACTTGTGTGATGTGTCCTGGGTTCTATGTTGATGTGTGAGGCCAGTGCGCCTCTGTGTCTGATGCAGTCTCTTTTTTTGCCACTAGGTGGAGATGAGGCAGGCTTTCCAGGAGGCAGGCTGCGTCTTCTGTGTCATCTCACCGTACATCCCATCTGCCAGCTCCGTTGGAGGCCTTCACTAACCTGACCCAGCTCACTGCTGATCAGTACAAGAAATGTTCCACTGCACAACACCATTTAGCACAGTAGCAGTCCCGTTGTTAGGCCCAGCACACTCTGGTTGGCCTTATTGTAACAATGGGCAGCAGATCATGATCCACGCTTGGAAATGAATTAAACTAATAGTTAGTGAGGCTCCTAGTGTCTCTGCATCTAGAATAAAAAACAAGTTGCATAGCTAGGGGGGGGAAATTAGGTGGAGTTGGTGAAATTATTATCAGCAGCAACAATGTAAAATTATGTAATTATTTTCTATAATGCGAGATATAGTTTTAGAAGTTATCATAATTTTATACTGAAATTAAAAATACATAATACCATGCTGTGTTTTCTTGTGTCCTTTCTAAAGATGGCTGGATGTAGCTGCAGTGTTTCTCTTGGTTCTGTTGTACCAGTGTAGTTTTGTGTGTCCACTCCGCCGGATTCTATAGGCTCGGTTATCGGATCTAATTCGCAGTTTCCTCCAGTGGGCGGAGAAGCAGCCGCACAGCGCTGCTCTCAGCTCCGCTCCCCTCAGTGCTTCCCGCTGCCTCAGCTCTCCAGCTCATGCGGACCAGCTGCCGAGGCTCATGGACTAACCGCGGGTCTGACCGTGAGCTGTAACGGACTCGGGGTAGGACTGCTTGACGCCGGTGGAGGACTGGACTATGGCGGCCAAGGAGGACCTGTACAGCAAAATTCTCCCCCGCAGGCTTCGCCAGAGCCGACCGGGCTCGATGAAATCCAGCTCCAACCTGGACGTGCTGTTGTCCATGGGTTTCTCCAGACACAGGGCGTAAGTAGCAGGACCCGAACAACATATGGCTCTTGTGTGTGTGTGTGTGTGTGTGTGTGTGTGTGTGTGTGTGTGTGTG